GTATTCATTTCTATTGTGAAGGATAGCACACAACATAACAATGTTGGTATAAAATACATTGTAGTTATATACCATACATTATAACTAATTATTCAGTCATTGAATTATTATGCTTGCATTATTAGTTACTGGTAGAAAATACTGTGATTTTATAAGAACTGTATAATGATGATGTAATAAATTGATTTTATTTATCATTTTGTATGTAATTTATTTGTTGTGTTTATTTCTTATAGGGTAACTTCACTCCATTACATGCAGCAGCTATTGAGAACAAGATTAATGCTGTCCAGTGGTTACTCAGTAAGGGGGCTACTGTTGACTCAAGAGATGATGTGAGTTGTATATTGAATGATACACACATTATTACAACATGATGTAATGTAGTACATGCTAGTTGATAATAAACCAGTTCCAATACATGTTTTTCTTTATATTTATTTGTGTGATATTCCAATATTGTTTATGTATTAATTTTCCTTGCACGTTGTAATTTTTAATGTGATAAAATTTTGTTGTACTCATTTTTGTGAGGAGTATACTGTGCCATCATGAATTACATGTATAGTACATGTATTTGAATTATGTGTAAACATGTACATAATACATGTACAAGTAGTATGATCTTTTGATATTTGTGTATAATTACTTTTAGTTTAGAGTGTGTTTTATTTATTTTATTAATGTACACTGTAAAAACAAGGATGTATACATCACACAAAAATGAGTGTGACCTCTTTGCCACAATAGTCACACTGAAGGAGTGCGTGCTCTACACACAACTGTTGTGTAGCATTTGTACATGTGTGCTCTTAACGCATATCAAGGTGTGGAGTTAACACATTTTTTATAAAAGTAAAAATCTTTATAAACCTCTAAAACCAACAACAAAAAACAAACATAAACAAAAATAAACACCAAATAATAACACAGTGCCTAGTAAAAAGCTTTATAATAATGTACATGTACCTATAATAATAAAAAAATGTATAAAAACTATAGAAACAGAAGTTAAAACCATATACTATTTCGTTCATAAACTATAATAATACAGTGCCTAGTAAAATTAGCTTGGTACTTAGTAATAAAACAAAATCAATAGAAAAATAAGTTTAAACCCTACTATTTTGTTTATATTATGTCTTCCATAGTTATAGCTGTGAATAAACGACTGACAATTTGAGAGCACTTTGTATCATGCTTATCTAGCAGAATCTTTTCAAAGAGATGATATAGACTTGTCATTCCTTTAGGATACACCATATCAAAAATAAAAAAAGCAGAAAGTAAGTATAATGGAGCTAAAGTAATTGAAATTTTACATAGAACCTTCTTTTCCATTACCAAGAATACCTCCATTACATCTTCTTTTATTACTAGGCATGGTGAATTGAAACTTGTATCTTTTGCTGCAACAGTGGGACTTAAACTAACCTAGTTTTAAATTAAAATGATTGATTTATTGTAATAATAAGAGTAAGTTACTTACTGGTATTGATATCAATAACTTTTCTATATCAGGTTTAATTTTGTGGTCAGGAACAAGAAAAGGTAATAGCTTCAAAAGTCCAGCTGTAACTTTATCAGCACTATCTATAATGATATCATAATAATTTATTGATACAAAAATTATAATGATCATTATTATATTGTACTTGTACTTGTTTCACATAACTTTCTTTGGCTTTCTCCTGTTCTGCACCATGCAAATTACTGCAACAGACACACACCATTCTCTTGATCCACTTTTCAGTCCAGCTACATGTATATGTCTGAATTAATTGTGGCTTGTGTAAAATTCGACAAAATTCAGCTAGAAGCTATAATAACTTTTAAAATACATAATTTTGCACTACAAAAATATCCATCCTTGTTACTCAAAAATGGATACTCATCCAGAAGTTGCTCCACTGGCCTTACATTAGTCAACATATCATTACGCCTCATTTCAAACGATAATATCATAGCCTCTGAAACAATCACCATATTTGGGTGAACCTTATGTTTGAGCTAATTCTGAAACCCGAAAATAGCAAGTTAAAAGAGTATTGTACTGATATAGATTTACCAGTATAGTGTCAGCAGGTAGTACAATGAAGGAGATATACTGAGCCAACAAATAAAGATACTGAATAAACATTCGACAACAGCAAAAAATCAAGAGAGAGAGAGAGAACAAGAGAGAGTGGGTGCTTATATTAGAGAATGATGTTCTAGAATGTTCTGTTCAGGCAAGCCTGTGTCAGTACATATTGTGTAATAGTAGTGTTAACAAGGTGTGAAAATGTGATTGTGTGATAGAGGCATGCATGAGACATAAGTATAAATAATTAATATATGTGAATGAACACCTTATATATGAACTATAGATCCAAAAACAAAATACCAAAAACTAACCTTTTTGTATTCCATTTTAAGCAATTTATTGTGCCTCATAAATGATGTTTTATCCTCACCCACAGGAAGTTTTTTTAAACCTGATATTTTCGCCTTTTGCTTTCCTTTACGCTTCAGTTCAACCTTCACATCTGATTGATTGGAAGTATTAATGGTTTTGCTGCGTCTAAATTCACGAAATCTATCTCGTAATGCTTTGATGATATGCCCCTGCATTGATACTTAATTATTCAAAAATGAAAATACAATAAACTTACATGTCCTTCAGTGTCTAAAGGCGATACAAGAAATGGGTACTTTTGAACAATTTGCCTCACTACTTCTTGATATTCTAACGTTTTTGGATGTTTAGTGTACATAAACATAACGTTAGCTATCCTTGTAAAGAACTTAGCCTGTAGTTTTGGCTGAAGATTCTTCATTTTTAGTCCAATTTCAATATCAGGGGTATAGTGCTTTGGAAACGGAAATGGACTTGGTATCTTATGATCCTCTTCATTTTCAACAGTAATAATAGCAGGACTTGCATTTAATTCTATTTCTATGAAGTGAATGATAAGTTTATTAGTACTTTCATAGTAAAATTATTACACCTGGTAAACTTTAGCATTGCATACTTACTTGACTTTTTGCTAGGGGGTGTCTCTCCTAAAAGATTTCCACTAACACAATTATCAGAAACAACTGATTCATCTAAGTAAAATTCAAAAATCTGGCATAATAAAGACTTATACTGAACATAAAATAATGTAAAAGTGGACATTTTCTCTATTAACATTTTGATACTTAATAGAAAAAAACTACCACTTACCTAATCCTTTTCTAAGTGACGTTTCTCCTAAAACACTTTCACTTGTATCATTACTCAAAACACCTGCACGCATAATTCTATTAGCAAAAAATATTTAAAA